ATTTTATATTTTATTAAACTAAGATTTCCTACCGAAACTACAAACTATAAATCAAGGGCAATATTATAGGTTGATCATCAGTGACATCTCAAGTGAATCCATTAAATCCAGTCGACGCACCTCACTTACAACCTCCAACTCAAAACGAGCCTCGGTTATTTCTTTCGCTATCGGCCATTCATCGCAGTGACAATGATCATGATAGTATGACTCTGCAATGTAGTTGTAGATTTCGAAGTTGTTGTTTTCAAATTCTATGCTAACTCTACGGTTTCGAGATCTGACGGGTGTAAAGCTTTTATCGCAGAAGTTTAGTAGCTGTGCGAGGCTTGTCTTCTCAAAATGTAAACTGATCTTTCGTATCAACTTTTGCTGTATTTTAAATAGTTCTTGAAGTTTCTTAAGGAATTTGTGGCGTAAGCCTTAAGTGCTCATTTCGATAGCACTTTTTCTTCGAATTTCGGATGGTGCAAAAAGAATAGCGAAAAATTTTTTTTTAGAGCAGGTAGCAATTAATATTACTTACTTTTCTTTTGTGCACAGAGCTGAAGAATAGGAAGCATGCTTTGTTTTCCTTTCTTCGTAAACTAGAGGTAATCTGTTTGAGTGAGAAGGGTATTGTTTCAATTACCTATAACATTTTTTATGGGTTTTCCAAGGTATTTAAACTCTATATTAAAGTTAGTCGTGAAACTAATTAAATAATTGTTCCACACAAGTTTTTTATTGCTTCTTTTGTATATTTACCCAGAAATCAACTAAGGATCTCAAAAGGATAAAGCTTAAACAATTTTGTTAAGGCCATTAAAAAGTGTAAAACAACAATAATCGCTACCTGTTAGCTTAAGCCGCCAAATTTAGAACCCGTAATCCATCTAACATCTACCAAACCGCACTAATTTCGCTATAAATTGCTGCTAAATATTGCAGTGTGAATCAGTTAGTGCTTAGCTTAGACAGACGCAGTATCGTCAAGATAGAAAAATAACCGTAAACATGATAAATAAAAGTATTCGTGTTTTTCTTACGAAAAATTTAAATAGTAACCCTTATGAGGCTTATGGCGAAGTTCGTGATTATATTGTGACCGAAGCGCACGAGTACATGGTATTCAAACGTGAAATTGTGCAGATTGAAAATGCAGTATATCAAGGTTTCGAGCTCAAGGCAAGATCTTTAAAAGATATACTAAATGGTCAACTTTTTTATTACTGTCCATGTCGTTGTGGTTTCGTATATGATACGAATCTGGTACCTTACCGCCCAATCGCTGTGGAATACATCCCTCAGCCGGGACAAGTGGAGCCGCAAGATTTTGAATTAAAACAATATTTCTTAGATATTCAACGGCAACAACATGGACACCAACCTCAGTTGCTACAACAATTGATGGAGCAACCACATCAATTTATGATGCAATATCAAAATTATATCAGTCAACATCATGCCGGATTTCTGCATCTAAGGGCACCACTGGAGCTCAGAAGACCGTGTCAACATTTCAAAGCTGCACCCGTAAAGATTGGTGCACAGCACCCACAAGTTGTAGAGCCATTGCAAAATTTGAATGTGTCCAATTATCAACAATTGGCTGCTGCTGAAGAAGAAGTAGACGTACAAACAGATGAAGATGAGTTAGAGGAACAAGATCACATAGTAGTTGATGATGAACACGAGCAGCTGGAAGTTTTTGCAGATGATGAGGAAGAAGAGGTGGAAGAAGAGAGGGAGAAAGAGGTGGAAGAAAAAGAGCATATAGTGATTGTTGACCAAAAAGAGGAGGAAGAAGAACAGCTGGAAATTGTTGCTGATGATGAGGAAGAAGAGAGGAAAGAAGAGGTGGAAGAAAAAGAGCATATAGTGATTGTTGACCAAAAAGAGGAAGAAGAAGAACAACTGGAAGTTGTTGCTGATAATGAGGAAGAAGAACAGGAGCTTATTGTGGATGATAATGATAAAGAAGAAGAGTTTGGAGAACATGAACGTATGGATATTTCTGATGAGGAAGAAGAAGAAGAAAATGAGCATATGGAGTTTTCTGATGAAGAAGAAGAACGAGAGCACATAGCGCCACCACCATTTCAAGAACAGCAGCAAGATGTTGCTGAAGAAGAAGATGAGGACGAGATAGAAGAAGAGGAAGAAGAACAGGAGCGTGTGTTGCCACAACAATTACAAGCAAAACCAATACAATGTTACGCCATTTCCTCGACAAGTTCGGACGACTCAGATGAGGAAGCAATATTTATGCACGACGGTTTTCCACCTGCCGTTCATGATTGCAATGTTATTCAAAGTCGGAAAATAAGTAGTACTACAAAAGTGGATGCGGACGAAAGTGACTACCTGAATGGCGAAGACGGCGAAATCGATTGGAGTACAGACAGCGCCGATGAAGATTACTATTGATCACTATTACTCACAGATGATCATCACATTCAAGCGTATGGTGGGTGTTATACCCGCTTCAGTTGGGTGTAGGTATACCAACTAGAGCGGCACGGGTTTTATTCTTAGCCAATGGGATATCTTGTAAACTTTCGTGGTTCACATTTGAAGGCAGTTCTCGAAAGTTGTGCGTTGGTAAAGAGCAACGTGCCAGTCACTGCTCCAAGCACAAGTTGGCATACATAACAAATATGGCTAAAGGCTTGGGGAGAATACTGTAGTAGTCAATTATTTCATATAGTTACTTGGACATTTATGAATTCATTGCTGTATATAAAAAGTATGTATGATTTTGTAATAAAAGTAGTAAGCTACTTAAAGAGAAATATCGGAAAATGCTGTCGGAAATTCAAAAATCTGTACAAAAATTAGATAATACCGATAAGGTCATAAGAAAATATGATTTTTTTTACTAAATAGGGCTGCAGATGGCTGTTTTCTTTCCGGACTCAGTTCCGTTCATTAAGGCAGTGTACAGTTGTGCAGCAGCCCAGAAAACACAGGTAGTACCTGTGTGAGAAAGTCCTTAATGAGACAAAGTCAACTTTAGAGGAATCTGTCTGCCTTTAGAAGTGGATATTTCAACATTCGGCTTCCGGTGTTCTGGCATTAATATACCGTCTCAATTGCAGTTGTTGTACCTCTTACTAAGATGTGGAGGAGAAAAAAAGTACTCAGTTAGTCGGACATTAAAAACTTCTTATAAACGTTCTACATATTGAGAGGCAAGAAATGTTTTATGTAATAAAGACAGGTCCCGAAAGAAATGACTTAAATTGACACTTTATAACCAACGAGTCTTAGAAATGAAATACAATGCCGCGTCGAGTTTTATTAAAAGCGCTACCACATTATATATACCGAAAATTCTTGGGTTACTCCCAGCAAAATATTTTATTAACCACCACTTCTAACTTGTCTCCCTTTTGAGTATGTATGCAGGCATATATATAGTGATCACAAATCAGATGTTCCCTTTGACAAGTTGTTAATAAAATACTCGTAGTCTTGGCCGACATATATACAACAGCCTTCGCCCGGTGAGTCTGTCATTGTGTCAGCTGTTGTAGTCACTAAAAATCAAATGAATTTGCACTTAATTTGTTAAAGCAGTTAGTGCAAGGCGTTACCAGCATTCACCTCTGCATAGCCCCGTAACCGAGCTCACTTGAACCAACCGACCGACCGAATTTGCTTGACCACCTCTTCTTGTTCGCATAAACCACAAGCAACACCTACAACACAAACAAAGTAGAGCAGAAAGCAAATTTTAACGATATACCGCCCATTCGATTCGAAGTACGACGGCCTGTCCGTATGGCACCCAGTTCGTACTCAAACCCGGAAGTGTCCACTCATCTGTGGCAACTTGACGTGCAACTCACTTTAATCCTCATTTCCTTGCTCGCCTTGTTCGGCTCAAGTATTTACACAAGGTGTGTATTTGCATTTGTCTGTTTGTCAGTGTACGTATGTATGTATGCATGTATTTATGTGGGTTTGTGTGTGTTCTGGAAACTTTCACCTTAACTACTTGGGAAAAAGCTGAAGTGTAAATTGTATGAGTGTGGGAAAAATCTGCTTTCGTTTAGCGTTAAGTGCCATTCAGTTGTTTAACGCTTCCGTATTTTCATTTGCAGCTGTTGCTACTTTTGTTGTTGTAATTTTTTTCCTATTTTACTCCATTTTTACATTTCGTAATTTAACAGGTGATTTTTATGCTCAAAGCGAAAATTGGTAGTATTATTGGACCACTGGGTTCACGGTTTGGAACGCTATAAAACAATTATTCTCAAATATTATAAGAGTATGCAAGAAAATATACCTCTAACTTTGAGGTTAGGGAGTATCGAGCCTTTTGGGGTGTAGAATTGCCGAAAAGGTTAAAAGTTCTTCTGTGGTTGTATCTTTCAAGTACTTTGAAGCTGCTGACTACTCATCAACCAATTTCCCAGCACACATTGAACACTAAAGACTTCTACATCTGTAAGAAAGCATATGAACACCTCGGAGACCTGTGGCATGAGGTTTTTGGGATTTGCTATACCATCTTTTTAAACTAATCTGTGTACTGAATATTGCATATATTACTTGTGTTGTCTGTTTCAAAGGTTAGCTATGGTTAAACAATACTTTCCGCCGGCCTACAATTTCCTCATGGAGCGTAGGTCCTTCGTCAGTAAGTTATGTGCTGTGACAACTCAGTTTATGCCTTCGCTTCTACAATATTATCGTCTTTCCCCACGTAAAAAATTTCCAATCTGTACTCGTATTAATTGGAAGACCAGATCTGCAAATTTTAGCAATCGATATGACACCTATGTTTCGTTTCATTTCTTTAGAAATGGGTTAAACGGTTTGTTTTTCTAGCAAACTATGTTGAGCCAGCGATCATTTTACTTCATATTAATCATGTGATATCTATATCTAGGTTATTTTGTAGTGGATGACACTGCAAAATATATAATGTTTCAAATAAGACACACTAAGATTAACCCATGGATTGTTATATTACTTGGATGTACCATTTCGAATCATATTTCAGCACTTACCCGTCTTTTAGGTCTTGCAGAGGGATTATATTTAACTTTAAGCTTCGTATGTTATAAAAACGGTTGTTGTAATCTCCCTTAAGTATTAAGCAATTAAGTGTCCACGGGGTATATAAACCTTTCACTTGCCAGCAAACTTGCACACCGTTACGCCTTATTTTTATACTAGTCTAAAATTTGATGTAAAAATCCATTATTGTATGTTATTTGTATAAAATATTTATTTATTTACGCATCTATTTACTTTCTCTCACTGATTTTCTGGCGAAATGTTACAGTCCAGTACACTACAGATTCTAGCTACCTTGCCACGTCTTCTTCCAAAAAAATTAGCTTCAAAATCTGACGTGTAAAACATTTTTCTTTTCTTTCCTTACTGACTTTATGAAAATCAAATTGAAGTTGACGGCGAAAAACAAAAAAACACACACTAAACGAACAAGCACTCTGTTGGTATTAGTTCGCGAACCGTGCAGCCTCTCCCGGACTGTCGACTTACACAACATAATGATTGTGTTGCTTTTGTTTTGTACCGTTAGTAATTTATCAAAATTCAATTCGTTAACAAAAACAAAAAAAAATTGGTCGTTGCTTGTTGTTGTTATACTATTATCCTCCTTTTCTTTTATATAGCACCTTTGACAGAAGCCAGCGCTGTGAAATTCCTCTTCGTTTATTAGTCACAGGCGTTTCTGCCATCAACACTCTTTGCACGTTCGCTTCCACTTCCTGGTTGCTCCTCTTTGCTGTACTCAAGCAATCCTCTTCCGCCTTTCCTTGTGCCCCAATCTTGTCTGCGCGGCATTCAAGTATGCTAATAAGCAGAAATTTTGCATTCGTCGAAATACGTAAAATAAATATTTGGGTAAAAATATCGTGTGTTGCATTAAAGGTGTTGGGTATAGGAGTTAAGAGCAAGCAACAGGAGAAGGGAAGCTACTTAAGTACAGTGTTTCCAGAAATGTAAGCGTAAAGATTGTTCTATCTTATTGTTTATTCTAAAGGTGTGAGTTGTCAGTGTTTTTTATCGTGGACCCTTGACAATTTCGTGGTGCTTTTGGAGGAAGTTTCCGAAATGAGTTATGTTGATACGGTAAATTTTGTTTGGTAAGCGATTTCATAGAGAAACTAAATACCTTTCCGACTTTAAGTTTACTTAATACCCGATATCTGTACTCTATATAATATCGCTTCAAATAAAATCGATAAATGACAAACGAAAAAATCAAGTAGTCGACTAAATAGTAGCGACTCACAAAAGCCCAGAGTTGTATTTTATTTTTAAATAGGTTGCCTGATATTTTATACCAATCTAGAACAAAGTAGATCGAAATCTTTGTTCGCTACCCTAAAATTTAAAATAAGTCGAAGTTTCCAACTTCTAATTTGGTATTACGGACCGACATCTAGTTTTTAAATATTGTATATGGGGAGTAAGTGGGAGAAAATTTGTTCAATAGGTATTTCCGAGCATTAGCTAAAAGAGAAATTGATTATCCTATTTGAAGTCTTGAAATACAGGGTAGTATTTTTAATTTCAAATAGATATTGGAACGTTTTTGAGAGCTTTCTTAATCATTAGCTTAAAACAGTTTTATCAGGAATCTGATGAAATAGACCAAGAATTAAAGAAGTGAATTGAGATGGTTTAAGGTTTAAAATTCTGCATATTTTTATCAACACTATACCACAATACCTTGCAAACTACGAAATCGAAATTTCAACGACAATCGTGGCAACTGACTACGCAACGTACAGAAATAACAAATTTGCAGCAGAAATACATATAGCAACATTTCTGTCGTCGCGACGTTAAAACGGAGAGTGAGTTGGCCGACAATGTCTGACTGTCCGAGCAGTGCTTGTCAGCGCCAACAGGTCAGACGCCCCCCGGCATAGCCAAAGTGTCTGGTGCCACACTTTGCGCGCGCGACAACACATAACGGAAAAACGAATCGATGCGCTATTACAATCCCAACAAATCGATGAAAGATTCACTGGAGTCCGGGCTACGCATAGCACAGCACAACATATCTACTTAAGCGCGCATTGTTCGTTGCACGTTCGTATAGCCTATCTGGGTAGCGTTTTAAATTCGGTGTCAAAAACATTTTATTTGCCCATATTTTATGGTATTGTTGCTGCATTATGGCAGGCGCGTAGCAGACACTTCCGCGTGTACAAAAACAAAATCCACTGCTTGCTTCGAACTGTTAGTTTTTTTGTTTTTACTGTCACTTTTGCTTGCTTTGCATGTCCTTGCCTTCTTACTTTTGTTGGCATTTTATTAATGGTGTTGGTTTTTGGATTATTTAACGGTGTATTACTTTATTATTTACTTTTTCATTAATTTTTGATGAAGATTTCACGAAAATTGATGAAATTTTTCTGCTACAGCATTCTGCGTATTGCGTTTGTGACCTTCCGTTTGGGCTTGACGTGTAAGCGCTTTGCTCTTACTGCTCTTTGTGGCGCCAGCATTTGAAGGCAGAATTGTGCAGCTGTCATTTGTGCTTTTGAAATTAATAATGTATTACATACTCTTGGAGAATAGGTTAAGTAGGTTGATTTGGGGTAAAGCGCAGCGCAGAGTAGGTAAAAGTGAGCTTTTTATTTTATAAAAACGTTTAGGGATTTACGGAGATACGGAAAAATGGTTGAAATATTTTACTGTGCAGGTAAGTAATTTTGGAAGCGAAAAATGTTAGAAAATTTGAGAAATTCTTTAATGAGAAGGCTTGAAAAATAAGGAGTTAAGGTGTCATACAAGGCTTTAAATATGCGTAGAAATATATTTTCGATAAAAAACTGATATTTGGTCAGTTGAAAACTATAGGTGTGAAATTCTCTCAGATACTTCTACTTTACAACTAAGAAAGGAAATGAGTTTTCAAAAAACGGTAGCTGTGGGTTCAATGCTAAATAACTAATCAAATTTCTTCGACTTTTTTAGAATCAACCGCATAAGCTTATAGCAGAAATTCTTGAGAGAAACAACTTCAGCTAGACCATTTTGTGGGCAGTACTTGATATAATCTTAAAGGTATAGGTCGATATGGACAGCATTCAAATAAGCACTGGATAGTTCTTACTGCGGATTTCAATCTGGAGAGGGATATTAGATATTAGGGTTAAATTTGTAATGAAGTATGCTTTATATAAGTAATTATGAAAGCGCACAGGTTGCATTTCAAAGAAAGCTCAAATTTCGAGTTTTAAGACAGCAGTGAATCTCACAGCTACCATGCATACAAGTTTTTATGAACCTAGGACGGCTGGAGTTGATCGTTAAAGGTGCTTAAGGATTATATCCATAGTTTATTTATTTAAAGCTTTCACAGGAGCTTTCATAAGAGCTTTCATGTGTATTAAAAACGTGCTGTAATGGTTATTATTTGATTCTGAGGTCGTACTCTTACCAATCGAGTAAGACAAAAACAGCTTTTAGGGGGTAACTTTCAGGTTAATATTGATAATAGTATTGTTTTTGATGTGAAATAGATGTGATTTTTTTGCACTTTCGAAACTTTCGAAAAATAAACTGACTTGAAAGACAATGTGTAATGGGTGCAGAAACTTTGTATACAGCGTGTTAAGATCCATAAGTCTATTAATATTTTTCAATCATAATGATGCTAAACTAACAGTGTTCTGAAGACCTCTATATTCGATACGGATATATCGATATACCTATACCTATATTAGTTGTATGCATTAGTGTGTCATGTGAGCATTTCATATGAAATTATTGGTATCACAAGAAAAACCGGTTATTGCTACTTTAAAATATGATAGGCGAGCAAATGAAATTTCCGTCTTCAACAGGAAAGTGTGATTTACCATTTTCAGGCAAATAGTCGAGAGATCATAAAAAGTAGGGTAAAAAATGAAATGTAAAAAAATTGTACCCTCATTTCATTCAATACACAAGCTATCAACTGGTTGATTTGAAAAATTTCACTCAAAATTACTGCCACACAAGTAGCTTGCAACCTTGTGCGTAACTGATAAAATACATATATGTATATCTATGCATGTAAAGGGCCATCTTGATAAGACAATCAGCACGCGGTCGCAAATACGTATAGAAAAATATATCCTGGTGAAAAAGGGTCATGTAAGCAGTTGAGCGTTTGTAAACAAATATATATATCAATATTTATATATATATATAATATATATATTACCATATATGTATGTTTGGTTATATAAACGCGTATGGTGAGTGACGTAAGGCGCTTTTAGACGTCAATAACACACATTGCAGCAGTTAAACGCACATATACGAGTAGACAGCGCTACAAAGCTAAATGTTAACCAGCGATATGCCAGCAGATAGGTTAAGTGAGCGTGAGAGTGAGACATTCCTTACAACACTTGCATATAAAGCTGACTTTGTGTATACAACTTAACAGCACAACATCTATCATTACGCTTCGTGCGGTGGCCTAGCATATATGTATGTAAGTCTTCATTTTTACATATCTGCTTGTAGTATTTGTATGGTTTTTTTTATGCGATGCCACGACAAGATATTAACAAATGAGTTGCAATTTTTCGCTGTCGTCTTATCAAATCATCAAATGCTTTGTGCGTGTATACAAATGAATTTGCAATGTGCGCGTACAGCGAAAGGGAGGATAGAAGCGATATTTTTGCGAGTGCTAAAAAATACAAGAGCTTGATAAACAGCAAATAGAATATATTTCTTTATATTAAAAAACATGTATAGAGATATGAGATGCATGCCTTTAGGGGCATATATGTGCATGCATGTACAGTTGAAGGCCAACAGCACTCGCTTTTGGGGTTAAAAAGGCATTATATCGCTTTTATGCAATCTTATTGAAGTGTATACATATGTAAGATTGATATCAACTGTGTAATAAAAACGTAAAGGGAAAGGACTAACCATCTTATCAGTGCGAGCGGAACAAAGTTAATAGCTGGAAAATAAATATTTTTTTATTTTACTAAAATATGAGAAATGTTTGAGACGATTTTGATTGGAAATATTTTTATGACTAGCTAGATTAAATGCTCTGTATTCATATATACTTGTATAGTTTTAATATAAAATACTAGCTTAGTTTGAAGACTGGTTCTAAGCTTTGATTACTCAGCAGATTCAAAATATCTTAAGCATTTCTAGCAAAGCTTTTTCAAACAGAAGTTAGCAGGTTGTAGAAGTAAAAAGTGATCCTAATTGGTTGCAGAAACGTAGCTTAGAAATGTCTGGCATTTTGGTTCTCTGACTTTTTTCATGAATGGTTGGAAGTTGAAAGTTATAGTTGGTGGAGTTCTTGGCTATCTTATCATATCATATTAATATGAGTAATTATTTTTACAAAAAATACCCAATAAGTTTAGATATGTAGAAGTTCATAAGTTAGTCGGCGTCTTGATGATAGTCTTAGGGATTTTGGGGATGTGAATGGGAATAGATATTCTTGAATTTGTAAGCCAATAGGCCTACTGCAATAACTTAGCAAGAAAGCAGCGTGCTTTATAAATACTTTCATAGAGCTCATACTACACACTAAGAAATAAATAGAAAACTCTTTCATGCTACATTTTGCGGCACTGAAATAACTCGCAAAACCGTTTAACCAAACCACCTTTTGCTGGCAATGCGCTCAACTTTTATTAGCTAAAACTGATTTATATCCATGTATAACCGCGCATATCCACTTTTACCCTTCATTTGACTTTAATTGGAATTACACAAAACTCAATCGCATTAGAAGCAGACTTGTTTAGACCACACCGGCACAGAAACACACACACACACATGCATCAGAGTAGAAACAAAATGGCATACATAAACCACTTAAGCGCGGCTCAACAATGTTTGCGACACAAAGGCTGAATATATGTGTACGTGTGTAAGTTGCTAACAGGATTTGCTTGTGCAAGAGTTTAATATATAAATGCATGCATGTGTGTGTGTGTGTGTGTGTGCGAAGGCTGCTGGCTTCACGTATGCGTAGTTAAATCAAAGTTGAGATTGTCCATAATGATTGTTGCAGCGGAAAAAAAATTGGAACACCGTAAATAAATGTCGTAAAAATGCTTTACGTTGTTACGCGACCGTTTCGTTATGTTATCAGAGTGTGTGTGTGTTTTGTTTGCTTTTTCTGCGTTTAAAAACATACTTTGCCTTCGCAGTTGGCGTTGAGCTGCTGCAGATATGCATGTGTAACCACTGGTGTACAAACTTATGTGCTGGTATGCGTTTGAGTTAAAGAGACTATATACCATTTTATGGCATTCAATTTAAAAAATGGTCATACGTGCATCCACTCAAAGCTTGACTCATTTTGTGGTGGCCATAACAACCAGAGAAATAAAGTTCTACCAATTTAAATTTTTCGTTTCATTTTATGCCTTTCTGCTTACTTTTTAGTACCACAGTGTTGCATTTGACGTGCTATCGATTAGATCGCAATGTAAAATTCCTATTATAGGGTGAGTAGGTGTTTTGGTTAACGAGAAAATTTAAGTTAGCTGCAATATTTCTTATATATATTTTTAGGCTTTATAAAAGCCTTTTCCAACTTAAGTTGTAAATATGGTAAGAAACAGACAGAGTTCTGCAACCAATTGCAAAAAATTGTGTATGGAAAGTCTATAGATTTGCCACGAAGATAACTATTGAATAATTTGGGAAGTTCCACGAACTTTTGAATTTTTGGTTACTAGACCATTAACAGCCATCTGCCCTTGGAGTTAAAATACTGACTAAATATTGTACTAATAAAAAAGTATAATTTTTTTGACAATGTTGTGCAAACTATACAAAAGAAGTGATACTGTTTACAATGTCTTTAAAAGCAAACGTTTATTCTAGACTTTTTTTTGTTAAAATGGCATCAGTCATCAATGGTCCGAATGCTTTTAAAGCCTGTATGGAAGTACTTAGAAATTTTTTGGTCCATTCAGTTTTATCTACTTAAAATGAGGATAAACACTCTCGCTAGCATTCAAAGTGCCTGAGCAGAGAGGTTACAGCAGCAAAAGATGAGGCGACTAAGTAGTACTAATATTACAAGCTTACGAAATCAGATTGGGTCTAGACAAGACCAAACGCAAAGTAACTAAAATGATATATTTTAGATCTTCTTGTTTAATGATTCAAAACTGCTATGAATCCTCAAGTTTTAGTTCGTGATA